ACTTTAAATAGCAAACTGACCATTGCTTTTCCTGTGAATTTTACAGTTCAGGTGAAACATTCTGACACATGCTGGAAAGAAATATGTTTAGAGTTTACTACATTATTCTATGGTCTGTAGAATTTAGTTTAAATATGGTGGACATCGGAGGGCTCCGATATGTAAATACCTGTTCTAAGAGTGAAGCAGCTGCATGTTACCTTTTAGAAGTCAATGAGATTTTTTTGTATTATTCATTTTGAAAGATGTATCTTCTGTTCACTAAGGCTGCATTTATTTGATCACAAATACTGTAAGAACAGCATGTTAAAATGTAATTGATTGCTGTGATCAAAACTGAATTTTCAGCATCATTCACCAGTCTTCAGTGTCAAATGATCCTTCAGAAATTATTCTTATATGCTGATTTACTTTTATTGTTTGCTTTTGTTTTGTTTGCATTTATAGAATCTTTAATTTTATTGTTCAAGATTGATTAATGAATATGAAGTTGGTCTTTTGGTCAGTTTAATGCATCCTTGCTGCATAAAGTTATTCATTTCCTTCAATAAATAAATAAATAAATAAATAAAAATACTGACCCCTTTTGAACTTTTGAATAGTAGTGTACATTTTCAAACATTCTGTTACCATTAATTGTAATAATCCAGTTAGATTTTTGTGTGCAACAGACAACAATAAAAAGTGTTATCCACACATAGATCTCACCATCATCAAGTCAGTCTAGGATTATAGGAAGAGACCAAAAAAACTGAGACAGACTAAAACTTTAAAATCTGTGGCAACATCGCAAAGAAACTTGAAGAAATGTACCTGCAAAGCTACCTTAAAACTTAGCACAAGTATAGCTAGGATAAAAGCTTTTCTAAATGCAAGCTCTTCTTTTTCAGTATTCAATTGTGGCACTTTTTTTTTTAAATATCTAGTTTCTAAATGCAGTGGATAATGCTACACACCAGCTAAAATGTATATCAGACAGCAAAGCTGGTTTTCCTCAAGAAAAACTTAACATGCTCCAAAATGAGCTTCGAAAGATCATTACATCAATATTAAATGTCATGTTTCACCTTCTAAGAAAACAATATTTAAGTCTATTTATCCTCTGCTGAAAAAAAAAAACTGTCTGCTTTGCTTATTCTCATTTATTTGTGATTTTATTTATATTTAGTACATTCAGATTTTTCTAAAATATTTGGTTTCATGCTCATAATCAGTTTAATCTTCAAATGTCCATAATTTATTTGTTTCAATATCAATTATCCTTGTGAACTACATGCAGGGTGAAGTTTGTCACTGCCTCTTCAGCCTGGCCGTTTCATCACTTCTCCATGAACAGTTAGTCAATTAACCTTAAATTGATGTGAGAGTGATAAAGCTTATTTTTATTTTAGGGTGTTTCTTCAATCAAGGATTTTGCTGATGGTTTTGTTGCTTTACACACTCTGACTGTGGAGAACGTACAGAACGCAGACTTTGTGCAGTCATGGCTGTGTGTGAGGCTTATTCCAATCCTCCCGTTCATCACCACGGAGTTCATATCCAACATGAGCAAGATAAACTTTTCATGTGTCAGCTACCAGATAATGTATGAGTCAAAATGTTGAATACACTGTTATTACAGAGAAGCAAAATGAAATTGTGGCTAATCTTTAAAAATGTTTTGTAAACAGAGTTAAAACACTCAGTCAGCAGGTGAATTTGATCAATAGAACATCAAAGTCCTCCATCTACACCCAATTTATTCAGCCATTCTTGTCTAGACAACTTTCAGGTGCAGTAAAAATGTTAAAATGATTCAATTCCGTTACAAAATGAAAATGGTTATAATAAAGACCTGTAAATAAATATACAAAAGTTCACAGTTCAGTTGTGTTTTGACTAATTCCCCCAATGTTCTGTATTCAATCCAGATCCTGCATGTCTTTCTAACATTACGAGCAGTGCTGACTGGCTTCACAAGAATTTTGGTGAATTCTCATTCTACGCGAACTTGAAGGATCTACGAACTCTGAATCGAAATTTCTCCAGTGTAAGTAACCTTTGATATTACCCATGAAAAACCGTGTTCATATTCGCGCGATTTTTTGCGCAGCTCGTCAGTGAGCAAAGGCTCTGTGTAGTTAATGCTGCTCGATGTGAAAGCACGCACATGATGGAGATTTACCGCTGATTACAGAACCGGCTTTCTGACAAGATGCGCATTAAATATCGCATGCGATTTATCGTCCAGCCCTAATATATATATATACAGTGGGTACGGAAAGTATTCAGACCCCCTTAAATTTTTCACTCTCTAACAGGTACATTAAGTCCTGTCACTGTTTTGAGATATCATCTGTCATGCTGTAGTTGCTTGAGCATCCTTCAGCGTCTCAGCTTGTCATTCACTGGTGTTCTGTTTAATTCCCAGATCCTGCCTGTCTGTCCAAAACTACAAGCAGCGCTGACTGGCTCGAGAAGAACTTTGGCAACTTCTACGTCTACGCTACCTTGGAGGATTTGCGAACTCTGAATGAAAATTTCTCCAGCGTGAGTGACACTTGACCTGCTCCAGTGGGCCAAGTGAACTGTCGTTTATTTTCGGAATGAGTTTTTTTCCCCCTTGTTTGAAGTAAACGGCCTCACCTATGATATAACCTCTGCTGTCCATGTTGTGCTTCAGTTTGAATCGCTGGCACTGCTGAGCCCTACCCAAGTAGCTGAACTCGCACTGAGCTCTGGAGCTCTGAACAACACCAGTCAGATCGACGCTGTGTTTGACCGCTTGGAGGAAGGCGACGCTTTCATAAACGTGGAAGAGTTTCTGACGGCACTGACCGCAACTCCTGAGGCAAGTCAATGAGTCAAAGTGTCCGACAGAGGCCGCGTGGAAGCCACGGAGAGTAGCCCGAAGAGCGATGCTTTGATAAAGTGCCATTCACACTCTTGGTGTTGTGTGCCTGCAGATTCCCGATATCACCCCTGCTGTGAGAGACGTGATGATGAACCGAACCTTCATAATCATTGAACTGAAGTTCCAGGAATTTGAGGCTGATGACTGGGTGTTGTGGTTCACCGTGAAGCTCATCCCTATCCTCCCCTGCAAAGAGTCCTGATTCTCAGACTGCACATATCTCTCCACTTCTTTCAAGGTTGCATCATCTCTGTCCTCTGGCAACCTCATCACACTGTTGACTTGCGAGGCGTCGAGCGGCACCATCAGCAGCACAGAGACATGGAAGATTTTCTTCCAGAAAGTCGCAGGAGTTCTGGAAGATGCTCTGTCAGAGTATTCCAGGAAGGTAGGTGACACCCTTGTTTTCCGGAAATGGAGATGATGTGCTGTCTCTGAGTTCTGTTTTGACATGTGTCCCTATGCTTTCACAGAACCTCAGTGACGGTCAGCCTGAGTCCCATGTTCTCGATGCTATCGGAGAGGTGAAAGTCAACAACTTCAGCGCTGCACAGCTGACAGACGCCAGCTTCATTGGCAGCTGGTTCCAGGGAAGGCTGAGACCATTCTTGCCGACAGCGTCCAGGGACTTCCTGTCCTGCCTCAGCTCCAAGAACTTCACTTGTGACACTTACCAAGTCGTGTAAGTATCCTCGGTGGTGTGGGTAATCCTGAAGTGGTGTTTATGGGAGTGAAGTCAGGCAATCCGTAATGGTCCCCAATCTTCCACGATTTAGGGTGCAGGCTCTCAGTCATCGAGCGTCCCTCATGGAGGTGGGGCAAAAACGGCTCGTCTTCACCGACTTCGTCCGTCCCTTCCTCTCCAGAGATGACCTAACAGGTACATTAAATCCTGTCACTGTTTTGAGTTGTCATCTGTCATGCTTGTAGTTGCTTGAGCATCCTTCAGCATCTCAGCTTGTCATTCACTGGTGTTCGGTTTAATTCCCCCTATGTTCAATCCAGATCCTGCCTGTCTGTCCAAAACTATGAGCAGCGCTGACTGGCTCGAGAAGAACTTTGGCAACTTCTACGTCTACGCTACCTTGGAGGATTTGCGAACTCTGAATGAAAATTTCTCCAGCGTGAGTGACACTTGACCTGCTCCAGTGGGCCAAGTGAACTGTCGTTTATTTTCGGAATGAGTTTTTTTCCCCCTTGTTTGAAGTAAACGGCCTCACCTATGATATAACCTCTGCTGTCCATGTTGTGCTTCAGTTTGAATCGCTGGCACTGCTGAGCCCTACCCAAGTAGCTGAACTCGCACTGAGCTCTGGAGCTCTGAACAACACCAGTCAGATCGACGCTGTGTTCAACCGCTTGGAGGAAGGCGACGCTTTCAAGAACGTGGAAGAGTTTCTGACGGCACTGACCACAACTTCTCAGGCAAGTCAATGAGTCAAAATATCTGACAGAGGCTGTGTAGAAGCCACGGAGAGTAGCCCGAAGAGCGATGCTTTGATAAAGTGCCATTCACACTCTTGTTGTTGTGTCCCTGCAGATTCCCGATATCACCCCTGCTGTGAGCGACGTGATGATGAACCGAATCTTCTTAATCATTGAATCAAAATTCCATGCATTTGAAGCTCATGACTGGGTAGTGTGGTTCACCGTGAAGCTCATCCCTATCCTCCCCAGTTTCACCGCAGAAATGCTGGTTAAGGTCACAGCTGGCGTCAACTGCACCATCTACCATGTGATGTGAGTGATTATCGATATTATTTATTATTATGATCTCTTGTTTTACTACACATTTAGGCCTAAGAGTAGTTTCTTTTGCTGGGTTGCAAATATATTAAGGGCATATCTTAAATTGCTTGTCAGCCAATTTTTAAAGCAAGTTTTTGTCACAAATTGCATTTTTGCTGAGCATGTTTGCCTTTCTGTTATAATTTTTCTAATTTTTCCACATTTATTTTAATACAATGGGCTGCTCTCCATTTAAAATGTTTTATTATATTGCATGTTGTACGGCAAACATTTATTAAAGAAGTGTAAAGAGATTCAAGATGTTGGTGGCTCTCATGTTGTTCACAGTGTTAGCGGACTCAGCTTGGCTTATTCACAAATGCCTGTCAAAAGAAGAGAGGAAGTTGCTGCAAGTCTAGTAGTTTACCTTAAACAGTCGGTGCACCAGATCAGTCAGCCAGGTATATCTCTTTGTATCATTCACACTTGAACTTTGCTCTGAATAAAAGTACCTGCTAAGTGAATAAATCTAAATTAATGTCAACACTTAGCATTGTTGTTACAGTAAGTTAAACATTTCAATAATTCAACTGAATTATTCACCATTTGCAATTTTACTCTGTCTGTATCCTGTAGCCTGCAAACAGAGCATTGAAAATGACACTGACTGGCTGATTTTGAACTTTGGTCAGTTCTTCACGTATGTGCCTTACTCTGACTTGGCAGAATTCAACATCTCTAGGGTAAAGCACAATTCAAACCTTCCTTACTACCCGAAATTCAGTGTGCAGTTATGATCTTGAATCCAGTGTGGAGGTTTCCTTCCCTAACAGAAGTAACAGTGAATTTCCTACTCTGCAGGAGGCCGTGTTTGGCTCTCTATCTGGTGAACAGAAGGTGGAGCGAATCTTGACAACAGGTCTGGTGGATGATGAGTCTGCTGTTAGAGAAGTGTTTGAATCTGTTGTACACTCTCCGAACTAGAACCAGTTGGATGAATTCTTTGAAATATTCAACAGCATGTCTGCACAGGTGGGAATGTTTTTTTGTTGACTTTGGTATTCATGTGATATATTTTAATTTTTTTTACTTTTTCATTTATTATTATGTTTTTGGCCAAAAAAATGTTGAATCACATTATTAAAAATATATTATTATAGTTGTCTATACATTCATAAAGGCTATGTCAGTAAGCATTGCATTATAAATATACTTTAACCTATAATTTATACTTTATGAAAATACCTGAGATGACTTGAAGAACACAGAAAAATCATATATTGTTGCAATCATGTGTTTATTGTCTTCAAGTTTCCTCATTCAGAATATCTCTATCATGTTACGCTGATAGCTGGATATTTTTGTCCATACAAGGGATTTCCTGGAACATCACAAGTTTTGTCTTTTCCGTATTCAGCTATTCAAGAGTATATGTGACGTATTAGTGTTGTGCTTTGTTTTCAGAGAAACGTGTCAAGCATCAGCACTGCTGTGAGCAACATCATTCTGAACATGACATTGATGGAGCTGGCGAACAGATTTGAAACCTTCGATCCGCAGACGTTTTCGTTATGGTTCCAGACGTACCTGCACGTTTTCCTCCCTGGGATCGGTCCAGATAGCCTCTCTGTCATCCCCAGAACCATCAGCTGTGATTCTTACAGAGAAATGTGAGCACTAGTTGCTTTTGTATAGCAGGCACCTTTCATCCACAAGAATCTGTGACTACACATTTCTAGCACTGATTTTATGGCAGTGTTGAGCAGCTATTTTGAACCCAGGTGTGTCTCAGTCTAGTCCAGTCGTCAGTGTGATGGCCAGGGTCAGTCAGTCATTTCTAGGGCTTTCACTTTGTGAGAGAATTTGCTCCTTAAAACTTCAAACAATGCCCAGTAATAAACAGTAAAGACTGTTTGAAAGCTATGTTCATCACTATATTTGATGACATCACGATAAAACAAACCAAACCAACTGAGTCATTGGTGTACCAATGTTTAGTGAATCTTGACCTTTACAGCACACGGACTAATGTCCATGATAAACTGCGGAATGAAGAATGAAAGAAACCCAAGTTATGAAACGCTACTTAATTAACTAGCCACATTAATGCTTTTTAAAGGACTACGCTTTTTAATTCTATAATGATCATGCTATTTGATGAAGTTCAGGCTAGTGTTTAGTAATGTTGGAAAAAAGGTCACATTTTAATAAGTCATTTTCCACTTTGTCATTGAGCTTGTGACTGAAACATTTCATTTTGGAGCCCCTTGCCTTCAAAGGAAACACCCACTGTTCTGATTGGCTGATGTCTTTGCAAGGCAAATGATCAACTGAAATGACTATGGTAAATAGGATTAAATTGGCAAGTTCCTGAAAGATAATTACAGTTTTTTTGAATTGTTAAAACACATTTCTTGAAACCATCACGCATTTTCTCAAAACCTTAAACACAAATCCAAACCTTCGAAGTGAATTCATAAAACCCCTGACTCTTCTGGTAAAATCAAACAATCGGTTTCAAATTATGCACACATTAGTCAATAATATACACACTACATATCATTTATTAGACACTACATCAAAACAACCAATGAGAGCAATTGTGGTGGGCCTAAGACTGCAGCAGCGCTCACATGGACGCTCCTGATCAAATTATTTAGGCTAAGCATCAGCATTCACAAACCACTGTTCACTGTTGTTTTTAACAGAAAAGAATGCAACGTGCTCGTAATCACGACTTCATAAGTGGGAAACAAGAAATTTCCGATAGCACGTGAAGACCACAGAGAAGCGCTCTCGCTCAGCACAGTGGAGTGCATCATTTTGTTAACTTTGTGGTTTATTATTTTGAGTCGTTTGGGACGTGGTAACACACGGCCCTCTCACAGTATATATACGCAATCTTGCTGCACGTTTCAGAAGTTCAGCACTCCAGCGCGGTTAGCGCTCACACTCACTGATCTATATATAACTGAACCACGCTCTGGCCCACCTCTTCCAACCGAGCCAGGGACGGCTAAACGAACCCCGCCCAAGCGCAGTACGAAGCGATCACACTAGTAAAACGAAACGGGCTTTGGGGGTCAGACGCGCTCGGGCACGGTTAAGATTGCCTAGTGTGAGTACACCCTTATTCTCCCGCATCCCGCACACATGAGTCTCTACCCGCCCGCGCCCGCCCATCAAGTGTTGTCCGCGCCACACTCTGCTGTGTTGGGTCCCACGCAGGGTTGCCGGTTTTCACAACAAAACCTGTCCAATTGCTACTCAAAACTAGCCCAAAACTAGCCCAATCACATTTCGAGGGGGGATCCCCCGGTAAAAATCGCATTCCGGTGAGCTAAAATACATGTTTTCGGTGGGGTTCCCCTGGTAAAATTAGCATTTTAGGGGCTAAATATCACGTTATTGGGGTTGCTTAAACCCGTGGACATGAAAAACAACCATAGGTGGAAATCCCGGGGGGGTGTTGGGGGTGACAGGACCCCACCTATCTGAGGGTTGTCCCCCCTAAAAATATGATTAAATTAAATACCATGCTGTGTATCGTAAATAACAATATTTTATACTTTAAATAATAGTGTAAGTAGTAAAATAGCACAAATGCAAACGGGGCAAAAATGTTTTTAAGTTTATAAATATTTTGAGTCTCCCCCTCCCTTACCTCACAGTGCTTTGGTCCAAATGCCTGCTTTCCTCTTTTACATCACCTACACACACCCAAGTCTGGTGAGAGAGAACAAAGTCAATAGTTGTGGATCTCCAGTAAGTAAGGCTGTCAAGGCTTTTTTAAATTAATTTAAACATCGGATGAAGTGATTATGTTCTGTTTAATACAGATGATGCCAATGTATTTTCCGACGAGTCCACTATATTAGCAATAATAACGTTACCTGCTTGACGGAAAGGGTTGCCAGGTTTTCACAACAAGTTCACATATTTAGAAACAAGTGTGAACAGTTTTGAATTGTTGTGTGTAAACGATGACAGCCGTGTTGCAATTTTGCTTTCTTGTGTTTAGGGTCTTGATCCACAAGTTTATCATGGTTCAGATTGTGTTTTAGTGAGTGAGAATGTGTTTAGAGTTTTGCTAAAAGAGTGCATGAGATCTGCAAACAGTGTCTAAACTGCCTGAACTTGTTTAAGGTTTTGCAGAGAGAGTGATTTATTTGAGAAATTGGTTCAGACTATTGAGAATTTGGTTAAAAGAATGGGATTTAGTGTCTTAGCAAATGTGAAAAACTGTAAGCCTAATTTGGTAAGAACCATATTTACAGTATATGCTGTCTTGAGTGACAACAGTGGGGAGAAATGGACACTGTCTACAAGCATGTAAGGTTTATAAATCTGTCTCCAGATGATTTTATTATACCATAACTAATATTGTTTTGTGTTTATTTGATACGTGTTTACCTCTGATGGAGAGAGTGTCCTTTCTGGGTTATGCAGAGATGTAGTTTCTCCACAGCAATATCTGTTTTTGTTTTTTTTTGGTTGGACAAAACGTTTGTAGTTCATCCAGTCATTCATTTATTCCTGTGTTTGTAGCGTGAAAGGCTGTGATAACGTTTTCAGCAGTCTCACACCGATTCAGACGGAGTACGTCTACAGTTTCACACGAGACTATCTCTCCCATCAGCCCAGCCAAGGTAACGTGTGTGCTTGTGTGTTCTTGTGTGTTTGTATAAACAAGTGTTAAATAATGTGTCTCTGATATTTTCAGGAGATTCCTGTGTGCTCAGTACTAACAGTGACGCCGACTGGCTGCTGAAAAACTTCGGACAGTTCCGCATCATCGCCATGTTCTGTTTAATACAGATGATGCCAATGTATTTTCCGACGAGTCCACTATATTAGCAATAATAACGTTACCTGCTTGACGGAAAGGGTTGCCAGGTTTTCACAACAAAATTCGCCCAATTGCTACTCAAAACTAGCTCAAACTCAGGACCGGCGCTAGCTATAGGCAGAGCAGGCGATTGCCTAGGGCCTCGGGCTTTGAGGAGGGGCCTCCATAACCGTAACATCCCCTATACACCAGTCCACCAGTAAAGACATGCAGAAATACTAGCCTCCAGTAAAGACATGCAGAAATACCAGCCTCATTGTTCATTAGATATAGTTGAAGTACACTCGTTTGCAATTAAATGTTGCAGTTTCAAAGCGGGTCCCGCCTTCTGAATGTGTAACGAAACGAACACATACTTCAGGTGCTGCGAACTGTGCGATGCAAATGGCTAAATAGGCACACAAAAAAGTACAGCTCTTAATGCAGGTGTGTGAGTTGTTGTAATTTATTTTGGAGTGATTGCAATATTTTCTAAATATAAACTTGTTCTGTCGATCAGCGTAATTTCTGTACAAATCCTTCACTGCTTTATTATGAGTTTAAAAGAGCACGAGCGCAGATGGCGCGCCCAGACGCGACGCTTTCAATTTGCGCATACAGTGAATGACATCATGTCGGGAGCTGACTGGCAAAATAGCTACAAAAGTAAAAGCAGATATGTTTGTATTCATAGTTAAAAAGCAAATACACTAGAACATTTTTTAATGGTTCAAATAAAGGATCTCAGGTGTATCTTCTAAATTCGGCTGATGATTAGGATTACTGCCCTGACATAACACTTACAACTAACTAAATAACTTTTTTCTGCTTAGTAGCGATCGTGTCTTTCTGTTCCACTTGATTTGTGTATATATATATATATATATATATATATATATGTGTGTGTTCTTGGTCTTGCTCTTCCTCGTCCTCCTCTTCCTCCACCTCGTATACGCACTCTTCCATACCTCTCAGATTGATGGATGCACCCGTGCCATCTGTGCACTTTGAACTGGCTTATATTTTGTACGTTCACATATTTAGAAACAAGTGTGAACAGTTTTGAATTGTTGTGTGTAAACGATGACAGCCGTGTTGCAATTTTGCTTTCTTGTGTTTAGGGTCTTGATCCACAAGTTTATCATGGTTCAGATTGTGTTTTAGTGAGTGAGAATGTGTTTAGAGTTTTGCTAAAAGAGTGCATGAGATCTGCAAACAGTGTCTAAACTGCCTGAACTTGTTTAAGGTTTTGCAGAGAGAGTGATTTATTTGAGAAATTGGTTCAGACTATTGAGAATTTGGTTAAAAGAATGGGATTTAGTGTCTTAGCAAATGTGAAAAACTGTAAGCCTAATTTGGTAAGAACCATATTTACAGTATATGCTGTCTTGAGTGACAACAGTGGGGAGAAATGGACACTGTCTACAAGCATGTAAGGTTTATAAATCTGTCTCCAGATGATTTTATTATACCATAACTAATATTGTTTTGTGTTTATTTGATACGTGTTTACCTCTGATGGAGAGAGTGTCCTTTCTGGGTTATGCAGAGATGTAGTTTCTCCACAGCAATATCTGTTTTTGTTTTTTTTTGGTTGGACAAAACGTTTGTAGTTCATCCAGTCATTCATTTATTCCTGTGTTTGTAGCGTGAAAGGCTGTGATAACGTTTTCAGCAGTCTCACACCGATTCAGACGGAGTACGTCTACAGTTTCACACGAGACTATCTCTCCCATCAGCCCAGCCAAGGTAACGTGTGTGCTTGTGTGTTCTTGTGTGTTTGTATAAACAAGTGTTAAATAATGTGTCTCTGATATTTTCAGGAGATTCCTGTGTGCTCAGTACTAACAGTGACGCCGACTGGCTGCTGAAAAACTTCGGACAGTTCCGCATCATCGCCAACTTTACTGACTTTATCAACTTGAAACGAAACTTTAATGGAGTAAGCAGAGAGATGGCAGTTTGTGTGCTGTTTTAACACTCTCACACACTCAGACGCTAAATTTTTACTACATTTTCAAATGAATACTTTTTTGGCATGACTGTCTTACATACAGTACAACATTGCCAAAGAATTATAGCTAAAACAAGTTACTTGAAGCCATTATGTATGAAGCATTATAAAGGGATTCGTAATGTTCATTATAATGTATTATTTCTTTTCATAATTAATTTTAACCAAAGTTAAAATGCATTGTAATGTTTACAGATTCCTTGTTACATCTGAAATGTGTTATTTATCATGTGTTTTAATGAATTATATTAACATAGGCATAACAGTGAATAGATTCAAATGTAATTTAACTGTGGTTACAGTTACTCATGAGATCATACAATGTTTCATGAGATCAGACAATGTTTCATGAGATCATATAATGAGTGCATTACAATGTTTAATTAATACATTAAAATAATTGTATGTTTTGGTATATTTGGTTTGACATATATAATGTATTAAATTAAAATAAGAATATAATATAAAAAAAAGTATTAAAAAAGATGCTGAGTAATGAATAAAAATAAGATTTAGAAACAAATAAATACAAATAAATAAATATATATAATAAATATGTTTTAAAATATTTAGAAGAAAAAATCTGAAAAATATACATGGATGGTCTTTGACTATTGATTAGTAGTTGGTTTGTAAAAGATGAATTTTGCTGTAATTTTTGTGTAACGGTTTTCCTGCAGTAACATCTTCATTTGATCCGTCCTCTCTCTCTCTCTGTATTAATTATTTTCTCTGTCTCTCGGTCAGGTTGAGGTGGTGGAGTTTCTGACTGTGTCCCAGCTGGCTGAGCTTTGCTCCGACCCGTCACGTCTCAGCGGACCAGCGGATGTTCAGACTGTGATGAATGAGCTTCAAACGCAGACGCTTTCAGAGTTTTTTGATGTTCTTTCTCCAAACATCCAAGTACGTTGTGGATTTGTTCTCTGCAGCTGTGAATATCCTTATCATTTGTTTATGTCCATCTGTCCTCCTGCCTCATTCTTGTCTTGTCTTGGTCTTCTGTGCAGGTGAATGAACAGGGCTACTCTGTGGAGGTGAAGCAGGCCTTCCTGCAGACAGTGTTTGTGCGAGGCGATCTGTCGTCTCCTTCAGTCAGTGATTCCGAGCTGTCAGTCTGGCTCACGGTTCGACTCAGGCCGCTGCTGTCTGCTTTGAGCTCAGCAGACGTTTCGGTGTATTTCGACATCGTCAGAGTTCGAGGCTGCAGTGTCAAACAGGAGGCGTAAGAGACTGTGTTTTTGCTCAGTTGTAGTGAGAAAATATTCATGCGGTTTTCAGATGATTCACTCACTCATTAAAGTCAAAGTCGATTTATAGCCATTTTTAGTGCATTGCATGGCAACAGTAAACATGGACAATAAACACAGACAGTAGCATATATGCAGAGTAAAACAATGTCTGTGTGTTTGTGACGCAGTGTCAGTGTGCTGGACTCTCAAAGAACGGCTCTGGATGAAAGCACACAACGTCAGATCTATAACAACATCCAACAGCTACTCACAGGTGACACACACACACACACCCACTCTCACACACTTGCATTTGTGGTTTATGGGGACTCTCCATAGGCGTAATGGTTTTTATACTGTACAAACTGTATTTTCGATCGCCCTACACCAACCCTACACCTAAACCTACCCCTTACAGAAAACTACTGGCAATTTTTGAATTTCATAAAACACTGTTTTTTAAGCCTTTTGTTTTACGGGGACACAGGAAATGTCCTCATAAACCATGTTTACGTTGTAGTACCCATGTCATTATACACAATTGTGTCCTCATAAACCTTATATACCAGTACACACAAACACACTCAAACACACACACACACACACACACAC